TGAATTGCTTTGGTACAGTGCATGTTTGTAATATACCAGTTTTGAGAACAGGAAAAGTGGAAAGGGGAGAGGAAGTAGAGGACTGACAAGTTTATTTAATTTTTTTGGGGGGGGGGTAAATACTATATATCTCTGCTTTATTTTGAAAAACAAGTTTTTATGAATTTATATTTTTTCTAATATGAATAATAAATATTTTATTTATTTATTTATTTTTGTTTAAGACAGAGTCTCAAGCTGTTGCCCTGGGTAGAGTGCCATGGTATTATAGCTCATAGCAACTTCCAGCTCTTGGGTTCAAGCTATCCTCTTGCCTCTGTTTTCCATTAAAGGTTTTATTTTATTATTATTATTTTTTTTGCAATTTTTTGGCCCAGGCTAGGTTTGAACCTGCCATCTCTGGCATATGGGGCCAGTGCCCTACTCCTTTGAGTCATAGGCACCGCCCAAGATTTTATTTTTAAAGAACAAAAACTTGGCTGGATGTAGTGGCTCACACCTGTAATTCTAGCACTCTGGGAGACTGAGATGAGTGGATTGCTTGAGACCAGCCTGAGCAAGAGTGAGACCCTGAAATAGAAAAACTAGACAGGCATTGTGGCAGGCCTCTGTTGTCCCAGCTACTCTGGAGACTGAGGCAAGGGAATCACTTGAGCCCAAGAGTTTGAGGTTGCTATGAGCTGTGATGACACAACAGCACTCTACCTGGGATGACAGAATGAGACTGTGTCTCAAACAATAACAAAGACTTTAGTATACTGCTTTTATAGAGAAAAAGGTTTCTAATAAATATTTCTCTGTCTCTCCACCTAGGTACTTATCCCTGTATTACGTGAGGGAAATAAAACACTAGAACTGTACCCCATGCTATTCACTGACCTGATAGTAAGGTAAGAAAACAACTCTTTCCCTTTAGATAAAATTGGAACTTAGGAGGTATTATAGTAATCTTTGGGAGAGGCTGAAAGAGATTGATGATGATGATTAACAGCAACAATAGTAACGGCTAACTTTGATGAACCAGGCACTGTGCTAAGCACTTCATGAGGATCATCATCTTTTAACAACCACAAGATGTCAGTACTATGAAAAGCAGAGCACTATAGGAGTAAGGAGCGTAGACTGTGGAATCAGACTTCCTGCACTGACATCTCAGTTTTGCCAGTAACTGCCTGGCCTTGAAGAAGAAAACTGCCTCATTTTCCTCATCTGTAAAAATGGTCCCCAACTTACAGTGGTTTAGCATAAAAGCAATATTCATTTATTAGAAACTACATTTCAGATTCTGAATTTTGATTTTTTCCAGGCTAGGATGTGTGTTGGGCACTGTGATCATGAGGGTAAATGGCTGAGGCTGTACTCTATAGTTTACTGCATTTAATAAATTATATGAGATATTCTATACTTTATTATAAAATAGGCTTTGTAGATGATTTTGCCCAACTGTAAGCTAATGTAAGTGCTTTGAGTGAGTTTAAGGTAGGTTAGGCTAAGCTATGGTGTTTGGTAGGTTAGGTGTAGTAAATATATTTTTTTTTCCCTTTTTTTTAAGAGACAGAATCTCACTTTGTCGACCTCGGTAGAGTGCTGTGGCATCACAGCTTACAGCAACCTCCAGCTCTTGGGCTTAGGCGATTCTCTAGCCTCAGCCTCCCAAGGAGCTGGGACTACAGGCTCTTGCCACAACATCGGGCTATTTTTTGTTGCAGTTTGGTTAGGGCCAGGTTCAAACCTGCCACCCTTGATATATGGGGCCGGTGCCCTGCTCACTGAACTACAGGCTCTGCCCAGTAAATACATTTTGACTGACAGTATTTTTAACTTGAAATGGGTTTACCAGGATGGCACATCATTACAGTGTTTATAACTTGAAATGGGTTTACCAGGATGGCACATCATTACAGTGTTTTTAACTTGAAATGGGTTTACCAGGATGGCACATCATTATAAGTTGAGGAGCATCTGTATCTGGAAAATGAGGGTAATGATAGTGTCTGCTTCCTAAGGATGGTTGACAGTTAAATGACATAAGCCATGTAAAGTGCTTAGCATAGTGTTTGGCATTTATTTACTTATTTATTTTGAGACAGAGTCTCAAGTTGTTGCCCTGGGTAGAGTGCCATGGCATCCCAACTCTTAGGCTTAAGTGATTTTCTTGCTTCAGCCTCCCAAGTAGCTGAGACTATAGGCGCTGGGCAAAACGCCTGGCAGTTTTTGGTTGTAGTTGTCATTGTTGTTTGGCAGGCCCAGGCTGGGCTCGAACCGGCCAGCTCCAGTGTATGTGGCTGGTGCCCTAGCCACTTGAGCTATAGGCACGAAGCCAGTGTTTGGCATTTAGAAGGTGCTTACCAAGTGTCAGCTATTATCATAATTAAAATAGTTGTTACTGTCATTTAACAGAGAAACAAAGTCTTTGAGAGAGATAATTTACCTAAGTTACACAGCATATAAATGATGGCACCAGTTTGTACTGAGGTGAGCTCTGAACTCCAGAGCTTTTGCTCTTAACCATTATACTGCATCTTTTCAGTAGGTTGAGGGGAAGAGACAAAACCCACATGTTGTACTTGAGTTGACTGTAAGTGTCAAGGTCAGGGTTGGGTTTTGATCTTTATGAGCTTCACTGTGATCATAAGCATCTTTCACCGTAGTGTGTGATTTGATTATTTTCTGAATTAATTTGTCCCTAGATTCAAAGAAATGAATAATAGTTTAGTTACATTCTCCTGCTGAGGGATTGGGTGCTCCCTGGGCCAGGAGATGAAACTAAAAAAACATGTGTCCCAGTGCTCTCTGGATCAGAAGTAGGAGCTTTTCCTGTTTCTCTTGTTATTATGCTTGTCTCTCCTTAAAATGACTGGTAAGGATGAGAAGCAAAACAGTGTACACACTGAGAACTTCTATGTGCCATGTACTTTATTGGATTATCTCATTTAATCCTTTAAATAAGCTGTAAGTAGTCACTCTTATCCCTATTTTATAGAGTTGAAGAGAGGTTAAAACTTGCTTAAACTCGGCTTGGCGCCTATGGCTCAAGCGGCTAAGGCGCCAGCCACATACACCTAAGGTGGCGGGTTC